TCATGTTTGCTTCAACCTCTGGAATATGTCATTCTTGTATAAATTCCTCCTTAGCAGTTCTTTCACTCCAAGATCATCTTTAAATCCCTTCATACCTCCGCAGGGCAGAAATCACCAAGAGGGTCCACTCCATGGCTGATGGATTGAGAGAATTTGATCTGACAGGCAGTTCTAATTATTTCCTGGTTAGCCTTTGCCAATAGGAGATGACTAGGGCTCTCAACGAAATTGTGCAACCTGTTTCTTTGTGGTAATCCCATGGTGTGTTTTTCTTTACTGAAGAACTTTGGGAGGTGAAACAACAGAAATAATGCCCTGGAGCCCCCTGGATAAAGACCAAAAGTGAACCTGATCAAGCATAAGTACAAACTTAATTCTTAGCTTTTGTCATATTAATAAAGGAGGCAAAATACCAACATTTCTCCTTTATGGGCTACTTGACTATTAGCCTTATTCCTTCATGGGGAGGGATGAACAGATGCTTGACACCTGATTGTGCAACATTTTGCCAACCAAATGGCTCAGATTCCCAGCAATCTTGAATCCTGGGCAGAATCTATGTGGTGACTTTGGCATCACTTAACTCTGTTATGAGGGACTGAAAGAACTTGTGGACTCCAAGAAATAGATAGAATATTCTCTGGTATAATCCCTACTTTGGGAGGGGGGAGCCCTCCTGTCTCATCTGCAAAACTGAGTATATATGTGTGTGATGTGTGCAAGATATTATCAACGGCACTCTTCAAGAAAGGGTGATTTGAACAGCTCTAAAGAAGTGTGTGATGCATTCTACGCTTAAGAAGCCTGTCCTGGATCCAGCGGTTTATGGACACACACGGCAGGGATTCAGTTGCATAACATTTATGGGAAGCAAATTTTCTGACCATTTTTCAGACACGACCCAAGATCAGGCATGGATTAAAGATGCTAGTGGTTTACTTTTATTGACACATTGATAGGAGTAATAAACCCATTTGTAACGGGGAGTAGGAATCTTGAGGAACAGGCAGGAGAGCCATAATTAAGGTAAAAGAAATTTGAGTCCTGCTCAACTCTCTTGGCGGCCACCTTCCAGTGGCTGGAGAAGGCTGAACTTTTCCAGAGGGCCTTCAAGGAATGATTGCTTGCCATTGGGATTTGATTATGTATTAAATCCTTCATTTTGTCATCTAGTGTTTATAAAAATGACAGCACAATTATCAAATCATGCATACAATTCACAAGAATAATTTCTAGTTAGGTATTTCTAGGTAAATAGAAATTTCTATTTCTTGGTAAACTGGGAGGTTTTAAACTTTGCAAAGGAAATTCACTCCCCCCCCCCCCGGCTTTTGTTTCAGGTAATTTTTCATATTAAATCTACATGCACTTCATTCAGTGTTTTTTGAATTTCTGTGTTTTCAAAATTAAATGTGAAAATATACTTTATTCTTACTTCCTTACAAGTTTTAGAGTGCCTTATTGTTTGGGAACCCACCCAGTTTAAATAAGAGGAAGCATTCTGATCTGAACGTGGGTCATTCTGCTGCTTCTTTGGAATCAGAAACAATGTGTAATGAAGTACTGTATCTGCCTTATCTCCAATATTAACAATACTTAAATTATTCTTGCGGGGTACAGTAGGCAACTTTCACTGAAAGAGGTTAAAATAAAATAAAAATACTTGGAAATTTAAGTCAGTGAGTTAATCTATATTATACAGACAAACAATATTTTGAGAATTTTAACCTACATGAATGTACATGAAAATTTGAAAGAAAATCATTGTCTATTGAAGAATTAACTCCATAATTTATATTCTCAAGAAAGAACCAGGGTGGAAACTTTGGGGCAAAATAATGTCATGATACATGAGATATTATTTCCCTTTATTCATCGTTTCCCTTTGTTTGTTATTATAATTTTTGTTTGTTTTTTTGCAAATTGTTCTCTGCCTGCCTTCTGGTTTTGATGTACCATATGTTCAAGTTCTGTATTTAGAGAAACAAACCCATGGAGTGTTCTCATGAAAATATCAAATGCTGCTTGGAATTATAGACCCAAGAAAGCTTCAACCACTGCTATTTGCCTTTTCCATGAAATATTATTAGCTCTGAATTTCAGAAAGAAAAGCCAAGGACACCATCTGGTGCCTTTTAAAAATGACAAAATAGGAAAATAATAATAGAGCCTTTGTGCAAAACAGAGTTTTGCATTGGTTTAAGCTCAAGAATTTGGAGCAGTTACTATGACCTTGTTGTCAAAGCACATTCACAATATTTGCAGCTGAACATTTATGCTGATAGCGACTAATTCATTGGAAGCTAATTGTTTCATAAGGTACTATGGAATTCTTAGCTTTACCAGGTAAAGCTGGTACTTTCTTGCCTATTATTTATTGTTTGATTTATATCTACCTTTCTTCCAGAAACCCAAGGGCCTTCTCCGTTGTGGCATTCTTGTTCAAAACTCTCCTTACCTATTACTTCTGTAAGCTGTGTTTCATGCATCTATTCACTTTTCACCAGTTTTTTGTTGTCATTTTTGTCAATTCAGTCTTTTGTTGTCATTACTATTCTGCTTCTTTTATATTTCATGTATTCATGTAGTTTCATGTCATTTAATCTGTTGTATACCCCAATTTGGGGAATATTTCATTAACGGTTGGTAATTACAGGCGGTCCTCACTTAACAATAAATACACTGTGTGAACAATAATTAGGCAAGTTGCATTTTGGAGGATTAGTTTTATTATTGAACAACTACAGTGCTCTCAGTCAATCCAAAAGGTTAATAAACTCAAACCTGAATATTTAAGAAAATATGCCTAAAAATGATATGGTCAAAATACTTACTTGCCTAATAACTGTGTAGTAATTGGGATTGGAATTTCCATCCCTATGTGATGCTAGATTACATGACCACATCACTTCATGACAACAATCCTGGCAGTCCCATTGTGTTGTTGAGAGGGTTGTGGGTTGGGGCAGCTTTCTTGTACTGGATCCCTGCTTTATGGGGACCCACAAGGCTTTCTTTTTTCATTCTCCTTCTTAACATATGAATGTAGGTGCTGGCAGAGATTAACATCAGCATGGCCATGGTATCATTAGTATGTTGATGATACCCAATTGTAGACCTCTATCCCTGGCCACTTAGATGAAGTTGTGAGGGTTCTTGTCTCGTGTCGGGAAGCTGTGGAGAACTGGAAGGGGAAGAACAGGTTTTGATTTAACTCTTCCAAGATTGAATATCTATTTGATTTGGTCCACGGGTCCTGGAACTGGAGATTCTACCATTGACCAGTTCTGAGCAGAGCTGCACTGCCCAGTTCAGATTCAGTGCACAAGTTGGGAATCCTCCTGGATTCACAACTCCTGCTGGAAAAGCAAGTGGCAGCTATGGCTAGAGAGTATGGCAGAAAAGCACTTGTCACAGTCACTTATGAGTCACCTCCCAGTTGGGAATACCTTGTAGATCATCTGAAAGATTTAACTGGTCTAGAACATAGTAGTATGGTAGTTATGGACATTCCTCATCGTGCCCTTTTACTCCAATTAGTAATGCCCAATTACTCCAATTACTACCCCTTTAGCTGAACTGGCTTCCAATAAGCTTCTGCTATAACTCAAAATACTGGCGATCGCCCATAAAGCCATACATGGCATAAGACTGGATTATTTGTGGGGTTACCTGCTTCCAAAGGTATCAGGTTATCCCTCACTCAACAAAGAGGAATCCTCCCAGTTATCTTACTGAAACAATTACATTTAATCACCGAAACAATTACATTTTGTAAGAGCTGAGGCATGTCTTCTTGGTGGTGGCCCCATTTTTAAAAATGATCTGCCCCAACAATATACAGTAAACATCAAATCCTGCAGACTTTTAGAAAGGGAGTTAAGGTTGGCCCTGTTCCCAACTTTTCAGGTTAAATTGAGTAGAATTCCAATTGGACAAACAGAACAATATTTTAGTCTGGATGTCAATTTACTGCTTTAGTGAGTTTTAATGCATTGTATTGCTTTTGTTTATTTATATCCCACCTTTATTATTTTTACAAATAAATCAAGGTGCTGAACATATCCAAAATACCATCCTCCTCCTATTATCCCTACAACACTGTGGGGTGAGTTGGACTGTTTTCCTTATATTTACCTTATGTTGCATTTGCTATAGATGCTTTTTTTTCTTGTACACCACCTAGAGTCATGTAGTTTGAGTTGGACATCCATGTAAATATTATAAATAAAATAATAAATAAGTTGATTGATATATAAAGCTATGAAGTAATAATATATTAACCAGTCAGTCTGGTGATGCTTTCAAGACCCAGCTTAACGCACAATATTAGGTGCTACTAAAAATGGAAAAGGCCGTTTTGAATTAGTATACAAGGACATCTTTAGATGTATAAACCATAGCTAAATTCCATTAAATGCTTATAAATCTTTTTGTAATGTTCTATCCTTTTATATATACCCATTTGATGTGAACAAAAATAGCTGGCTGCAGACTTTTTTCCATTACAAGGCCAGAATTGTAATGTCACTTTCTCATATACTCATAATATCTTAATTTCCCACTAATTTTAATTTTACAAAGAGAACTCAGATTGAGGATTTCCTCATTATAATTTCTTCATAGTTTTTCTGTTACAAGAGGCATGAAACTGTACCCACTCTTTCTCTCGTGTATGAAAGATACACACACACATACACAGAGAGTAAATGATAGGGTTTTTCTCTAGCATATAATGACTATTCATGACTCTGAGCTGCACCTTCCCTGTTGTTGAAACAATGGCATGTCTACAAAGGAAAGATTTGTGAGGAAAAAAAATAGTATACTATTACTATTTATCAGTCTGATACACTGGAGTGTTCAAATATCTTTAAAGGAAATGAAAACTTGAAGAGTTATGTTTTCCATTAAAATACTCCACATTTTAATCTCATCCTCCTCTATAACCAACATCTTGACTAAAGAGAAAAAGAGAACTGCAATTGCCAGGAAGGAGTTCAAATCTTTGCATAGTCTTTGAGAATCATCTCGAGTTTCTGACCGAGTAGAATATTGCCCTTCACCTTCACTTTCCCAATCAGAAAAGCCTTCTGGGGCTTTATTTTGCCCAAAGCAAGCTCCATGAAATCATGTTCAGAAAGAATAAAAACTGTGTTGGCAGGCTCGTGAGATGCTCCTGGATAGATTTGACCGGAACCAGACTTCAAATCCAGGGTCCACTGGGCCACAATCTTTCCACCATTCATGATGTCCCACTGAAAGACAGCATTCACCTTTTTCACAAGTTGACTGCCAACACCTTTGATGCGGCGCCCAATTTCCTCAAAAATAAGATCACTCTGAAGCCCAGGGCCTTTCGGCGAAGCATTTCTAGATGTCATCAAAGGTTCATACAAATCTGAAACAGCAGTTTGTTCATTTGTGTTGATTTTCATTTGAGGACATTTCAGTCTTTCTCTCCACATCTTCTTTTTATAAATGTTTGAAGAATGAGCAATTGTTATCTCACTTTGTATATAAGAGCTAGGGTGTTACCATACCTCTTTTCACAAACAGTATTTACATTTCAGTAATAAAATGAAGTAGAAATCATTGTTGGGTGGACACATTGTGTAATCAGATATGACAGCCAGTCAGCATTAAGTTTTAGTTGGTTTGTATGCTGTAATCTCATTGGTGGATATACTTTATTGTGACAGGCAAGATTTCTTATAGTTAAAGGCTGTGAGTGAGCTGCTTGGGTGTACATAAGGTGTATATACACAGTGTGCCTACAATTGTTTATTTTTAATGAAGAAATTTTTGTCATGCATTTTGTGTACATACTCAATAAAATTTGACTTTTCTTGAAGAATTTCAATTATATGAAGCCTGGGGTTTGGCAAAACTAATGTTTATTGATACAAAAAAAATGAATAGTTCTTTAACATTAAGGAATGGAATCAAGTTATATGCTCCTTATTGATTTTTTAAAAAAATATCTTCATATTTTAAGAAGGATAAAATGGAAGAATGTGTTTTGGTATGGTCTAAATTTAGAAATATGATTAAGGTTTGAATTGATTTCATATTGATATTGCTTAATTTATTTGTAAGACTATCCAACTCCAGATGACTCTGGGAGGCAAATAGAAATAAAAATGAGAAAGACAAAAGCCAATCAACAAAAGAAACGTTAAACTCAGAGGGGAACGCTCACATTTTTCTAACAATAACATTTTCAAAGAGTCAAAAAGCCTGAGAAAAGAGCCAGATCCTAAAGGGTCATGGAAAGTAGAGCAGAGTGGAGATGCTTTGGATTTCAGGGGATATGATCCCAGAATCTTGGATGTTCTTGGATGACATGTAGAGGACCCCAGAATATGGCAATTCTAGGACACGGGATGGGCAGAAACCAGGGGGGCAGATGATCCCTCAAATAATTAGCATGCAAGGCTTTATAGGTGGTAATTAGCACTTTGAATTGCACCCAGTGCAGCTTTTGGATTTGTTATATGGGTATACTAAGCTCTGTCCATTAATGTGCATAATGTTGCATTTTGAATCAGTTGCACAAAGGAAGTGACTGTGTGGAGGTCCAGTTCAGAAACAGTTCAACTTGTGCACAACATGAATTTGTGCAAACACCCTCCTGGCTACATGTTCCTCTTGCTCTTTGAGGGACACCTTAAAGCCTAGGACGACCCCCAGATTGCATAATCTCAAATGAGGAAAAGAAATATGGTGACAATGGTTCTCCCAGTATCTAAAGCCCCTCACTCTTGCTTAGAATTAACCTGATTCTGGTCCCAAATTTTATAAAATTGTTTATCCTCTTGTTCTCTAATTTCAAATGTCAATCTACTCATTTCAGCACATTCCAATATTTTCTTAATAATTTCTTCCTGCAATGGTATTTTCTCATTTTTCCAGTTTTTAGCAAATACAATCCTAGCTGCTGTTAATACATTTACAATCAGGTATTTCAAATCTTTGTTATATGTATCAAGTAAGATTCCCAATAAAAAGATCTCTGGTTTCAAATCTATGTGTTTCTTTGTCATTTTTTCCAACCACATGCAAATTTCAGTCCAGTATTTTCTAGCATCCTCGCAAGTCCACCACATATGGTAATATGAGCCAGGTATCTGATGACATTTCCAGCATTTTTCAGATTTATTCTTGAACATTCTTGCTATTCTTGTCGGGGGGAAAGTGCCACCTGTAAAACATCTTATACAAATTTTCTTTATAAGCTGTTGACATAGTCATTTTATAGTTTTGAGACCACAATTTTTGCCATTTCTCTAAATCAATCCCATATCCAAAATTCTTCCCCCAAGCAATCATAGTTTCTTTGACTTGTTCTTCCTCTAATTTAATTTCCAGTAAATAACCATATAATTTTTTAATCACCTTTTCATCAGTACCTGTCAAGATCTTATCTAAATCAGTCAATTTATCATAAAATCCCTCTGTTTTAAAATCTTCATCATACCTTGAATGTATTTGCGCATATGAAAACCAATTCATCTTTATACCTTGTTCCTCTAAGTTTTGCATCGATTTAAATTCACCCTTTTCATCCAGTATTTCCCCATATCTAACTGTTTGTTCCTTCTTATAAATTATAGGATAGGAAAATGCTTCAATGCTCGATAACCAAACTGGAATTTTCAAATAACATTGTTGGATGATAAAATACAATAATGGTTGGATGATAAAATACAATAATAGAATATTTAGAATTCTAGATAATAATGAATATATAAAGAGATTTTTTTTCTTTTTTATTTGATATCACATTTATAAAATGTCTTCAGGATAGACTTGGTATGATTATATGATTTGTTATAAAATAAATTAAATTATAGTTATCTCGCAAAGTATGAATGAATAAAATCATAGTCAAATGATTGTTTAATAGTGATACTAGGGTATATAATTTTTGATTGATAATATGAGTTATTATGTAATGTAACTGTAATTGAGACTACGAAATGAATGCACAAAAACTGGTAAACCAACCGACACACTGTTTGTATATTTATGAAAGAAAGCTGGATGTTTTTATGTTTTGTTTGTCTTTAAAAACTAATAAAATTGTTTTCCAAAAAAAAAAAAAAAGAATTAACCTGATTCTCAGAGTTTCTTCCCCCATCAAATGCCAATAGCCTCTGAGATTTATCAACATCACTTGGAATGCCCAGGTCAAGATATGCAGGTGGGTACCATTAGTGTACTGACACCTGACCTTGAAACCAATAGATTATCTCATCCAGAAGTATATGCGAGAGAACAAGTAAACTTTCAAAACAAATTACCAACTTAAGAAGTAATGTGCTGCAGCAGCAGTAAAAAGACCACACCTGGGAGTGGATAGATTTGGTTATCTCTGTTTTCACCACTGTGTCTCTTTCATAAGTCTTAAATTTCCCAGCATGGAAAGATCTGCATAGAATATATATTTAAATAATATTTTAATTGAAATTTATCAACAAAGGCCTATGTTCAAATGTTCCTTATCTTGAAATACAAGTTGTTAAATGCATCTTGAGGCAAAATTTATTTGCAAAAGATTCAGCTCAGTTTGGGTTACATCTGAATTCACAATATCAGGATTTTTTTAAATTCTCCTAGTCTGTACTTCTTTCAAATAATTAAATGAATACATGAGAGCAAAAGATTTGAAAATAGCAACTACATAACTTTAATGGTAAGGGGCTACTTTTGGGAACTCTGGGCCATTCCAAACTTAATTTAACAGACAATACCATGTTTCTCCAACAATGCAGCCTCCACCAATAGGAAGGCCCAGCATGATTTCTAGGCATGAAGTGAAATTAAGCCACGCCCCCAAAATTTAGGCCTATTTAAACCATGCTTTTCCTCGCCATTTCTCACATCGTTCGTTAGAACTACACGAGGTGAAGAGAAATGGGTGGGAGAAGGACGGGGGGATGGGGAGAAAACTTGCCTTTAGGAGTGCCCTGCAGGTAGCCTAGGCTAGAATACCCCGATAGCCGATAGAAGCTCCCTGAAGGCAGAGTCCCCAGCCGCTTCAGGGCGTGGCGTGGCTACCCATGTCCCCTCGCCTTTAGGCAGTCTCTTTCGGGCGATGGAAGCTCCCCAAGTACAGTCACCAGCCACTTTGATCAGCCGGTAGAAGCGGCCTCGGGGCGAGCGCACACACATACTCCCCTCGCCGCGAGGCCGCTTCTACCGGCCGATTGAAGTGAGGGGAGTGTGTGTGTGTGTGTGTGTGCGCGCTCGCCCTGAGGCCGCTTCTACCGGCCGATCGAAGTGGCTGGTGACTGCATTTGGGGAGCTTCCATCGCCCGAAAGAGA